CTTCCAAGCTCATTCTATGAAGACAGTATCACTCTAATACCAAAACCAGGTAAAGACAACACAATGAAAGAGAATTACAGGCCAATATCCCTCAAGAACATAGATGCCAAAATCCTCAACAAAATCTTAGCAAATCAGATCCAGCAGTACATCAGAAAGATCATAAACCATGACCAAGTAGGATTTATCCCAGGGATGCAAAGATGGTACAATATCCGAAAATCAATAAACGTGACACATCACATTAACAAATTGAAAGAAAAAAAAATAATGTAAAAAAAGGAATGGAACTACATATATTAAAGCCGAAAAGGAGAAAAAAGACAACTATGTAATATCACTGAAATATTATAGAACCAAAGTGAAAATACAATGAGAAAGTATTTTACAAACTCCACCACGAAAGGAACAACTGAAAAACAGAATACACGAATTAAAAAATACAGTAGAATCATTAATGAAAGACATCTTCAACATCAAAGAATTTGTCTGGGAGAGAGGCACCAGATGGCGGAATAAGTAAACACCTGTAATCTGCTGCATCCCACAGCCACATCAAAATTACAAATAATATCCAGAACAATTATCATCCAGAATGGCCAGAAAGCTGGCTGAGTAGAGAGGTAAAGAAGAAAGTGCATTGAGACTGGTAGGAGGTGCAGAGGTGTGGAAAGGGCTGGTACCTGGGTGTGTCGCTTTTTTAATTTAGAGGGAGATACAAGCTTCCACTTGCTCTGAGCTCTAGTGCCTTGTGAGAGTCAGGGGGACAAAGATATATAACAAAAAAAACTGGACTATCTGGCATTGGGACAGGAACACAGTGGAAAGTTTCTTCCAAACCGAGGTGCTTGCACCGGTCATGGTTCCTTTGCTGGGATCTCCCGGGTACAGCGCTGATTGGCAGCCATTGCTGTTTGCTCTGCCCTGAAGATTCACTGAGACTCCACCCTTCCCAATTTAATACCACACCCAAGTTGTGGGCAGTGGCTTCTGCATATGAAAGGCCTGTCTATTCTCAGCCTAAAACCTGTCAAGCAATCTTCAGCTAGGTAAGGGACCTTCAAAGTTATCAAAAAAAAAAAAAAAGGCCCCACAACTGGCAACAACGGCAGCATGCCTTGCGTCACAGCTGGACCTCATCTGTGTACTTCCAAACCCAATACAAAGAGAAGGAATCTGCAGATCTCTCTGCAGCTCCTCTTGGGTGCCCCAAGCAATGGCTCACTTTGCATCTCCTTAGAGATCCAAGAGCCAGTGTATCCAGTGCTCAGTGTGAGACCATACCAGATTACAACTCTTCACATCCATAAGTGATACACTCAAGGGGCATACTCAGTAAGCACCAAAGCACCAATGAAGTCCTGCCCCATAAGGGTGTCTCCTGCACAGTATTTCACCCACTGTAGTCAAAGCTGGAAAGCACTGACTATTGGCCTGGTGGTCAATTCCCCCCAGTGATGCCAACAACAATCAAGGCTCAACTACAACAACACTGTGCACACAGCAATAAAGGGGTGCAACAAGAGTGTCTACCTCAGGTGATTGGGGACGCTGAGTCACTGGGCCCAACAGGATACCTACTACACAAGGCCACGCTATCAACTCAAGGAGAGTGAGCAGCTACGTAGTACATACATACAAACAGGGAAGCAGCCAAAATGCGGAGACAAAGAAACATGTCAGAAATGAAAGGAATGGAAGTAAGCAAACTACTCTATAGAGTTCAAAACCACAGTTATAAGGTTACTCAAGAATCTTCTAGAAACCTCCAAAGAACTTACAGAGACCTTCAAGGATCTCAATGAAAATGCCAAAAAATGGAAAAGGACCAGTCAGAAATTAAGCATACACTGACTGAAATAAAGAATAATAGGCCGGAGCTCCAGTGGCGCAATTGGTTAGCGCGCGGTACTTATAAGAATAATATACAGGGCCGATACCGATTTGGCTCAGTGGATAGAGCATCAGCCTGCGGACTGAAGGGTCCCAGGTTCGATTCCGGTCAGGGGTATGTACCTGGGTTGCAGGCACATCTCCCGTGGGAGATGTGCAGGAGGCAGCTGATCGATGTTTCTCTCTCATTGATGTTTCTGAGTATCTCTCTCCTTTCCTCTCTGTAAAAAAATCAATAAAATATATTTTAAAAAAAAGAATAATATACAGGGATTCAACAGTACACTAGAGGATATCGAGAATCAAGTCAAAGATTTGAAATAAAAGGAAGCAAAACACAGCCAATATGAAGATAGTGTACAAACATCCGAATTATGGGGTGACAGAAGAAGAGAGAGAGCGCAAGATATAGAAAAGCTATTTGAAGAAATAATGACAGAAAACTTCCCCTACCTGGTGAAAGATATAGACTTATAAGTCCAGGAAGAGCAGAGAACCCCAAACAAAAGGAATCCAAAGAGGACCACACCAAGACACATCGTAAGTAAAATGCCAAGGGTAAAAGACAAAGAGAGAATCTTAAAAGCAGCAAGAAGAAAACAGTTAGTAACCTACAAGGGTGCACCCGTATGCCTGTCAGCTGATTTTTAGCAGAAACTATGCAGGCCTGAAGGGAATAGCAAGAAATATTCAAAGCGATGAATAGCGAGAACATATAACCCAGATTACTCTACCCAGAAAAGCTATCATTTAGAATTGAAGGTCAGAGAAAGAGCTTCACAGACAAGAAAAACCTAAAGGAGTGCATCACCACCACACCAGTATTATATGAAATACTGAATGGTATTCTTTAAGAAGAGGAAGGAGAAATAAAAGGTGAAGATAAAAAATTATGAAAAAAGTAAATACATAACTATCAACAAGTGAATCTAAAAGTCAAATGAACAAAAAATTTGATAAACAGAATAAATTGGTGAATGTACTAGAATCAGGGGCAAGGAAATGGAAGAGACTGACGATTCACAGAGGGGATGGGAGCTTATACATATATATAAACCTAATGTGCATTTACAACTTCCCATGCATGAGGTAAAACAATCTTCTACAGAATGCTTTTACCACAAAAGAAATAAAAGATACTCTCACATATACGAATAGGGTTGACATACCGAGATGTCTACGAGCAAAATAAGTGAAGTTGGACTGTTATTAGACACCATATACAAATATTAAACCAAAATGGATAAAAGATAGAAACATAAAGCTAATAACAACTCAATCTATTAAAAGAAAAGTTATAGAAAAGTTTTTGTTTTATTTTTAATATATTTTCATTGATGTCAAAGAGGAAGAACAGAGAGAGAGAGAGAAACATTGAGATTCATTGGTTGTCTGCCTCCTGCATGGCCCCTTCTGGGGATGGGAGCCTGCAACCTGCTCACGTGCCCTTGATCAGAATCGAACCCAGGAACATTCAGTCCGCAGGTCAACAGTCTATCCACTGAGCAAATCTGTCTAGTCATATAGAAAAGTATTTATGACATTTGATTTTTTTATTTTAACACCAAACGGAAAGGTAAACAAAACGAAATAGTCAAAAGGCATTATACCCTGTATAAAAGTATTATTCACATTAAAGCAAATGGTCAGTGTGTTAAAAATACAAGCTGTGAAATGGAAAAAAAATCCCCAAAGCATATTATCAGATAAGTAGTTAATATCCAGAATATATAAACACCTTTTAAAAATCAACATGAAAAAAAAAGTAACACAACTTTAAAAATGTCCAAAGCTATAGGGTTAACTAATCTGTAAGATAGAAGACAAGAACACACAATAGGTAAAGACCAATTCTTCAGTTGTTCAAGTAGTTAAACAAAAATGAAACAGACACATGCAAAAATTCTAAAACTAGACCCTGTTCAAAGAACAGGAACCAAACTGAACTCAGCAAGGATTAACAACAAACATATGAGACCTGAAACCATGAAAACACTGAAAGAAAGCATACTCAATGAACATTACCATCACTCTTTAAAATACTGGTTTCCAGGTATCTTCCTAGGCATAATAAAGAACCCAAAATCTAAAGAAATGAGACTACAAAAGAATAATTTTGACATATCAAAAGAAACCACAAAATAACAACAAAAACCCAGCAAAGCTACCTCCTCAAAAGCTAAAGATCCAAAATATATAAGGAACTCACACAACTTTACACCAAAAAGACAAACAGTATGATTGAAAATGGGTGGAGGAAGTGAATACACATTTCCAAAATAGGACGTAAAGATGCGCAATACACATAATAAACGATTTTTAACTCATTCATCATCAAGAAATGCAAGTGGAGCCCTAACTAGTTTGGCTCAGTGGATAGAGGGTCGGCCTGTGGACTGAAAGGTCCCTGGTTCGATTCTGGTCAAGGGTATGTACCTTGGTTGTGGGCATATCCCCAGTAGGAGGTGTGCAGGAGCCAGCTGATCAATGTTTCTCTCTCATCTATGTTTCTAACTCTCTATCCCTCTCCCTTCCTCTCTGTAAAAAAATCAATACAATATATTAAAAAAACAACAGGGTGGCCAATTGTGGGCGAGCAGTCAGACATCCCCCGAGGAGCCCGATTGGAGACGTTGCAGGACGGGCTGGGGGAAACCCTCCCCACCCTGCACAAATTTCATGCACCAGGCCACTAATCTATACCAATAAAAGGGTAATATGCTCATTAGACTGGGAGATCTTCCGGACAAAGCTATGGTGGCGGGGTTGAGGCAGAAGCAGTTAGCGGCGATTAGGCCAGGTGGGGAGAGCAGTCGGGGGTGATCAGGCCAGCAGAGGGGACAGATGGGGATGAGCACGCTGGAAGGGGGGGCAGTTAGGCGCGAGCAGGCCGGCAATGGGGGAAGTTGGGGCAAGAAGGCAGGCTGAGGGCAGTTGGGGGCAAGCAGGCTGGCAGGGTTTTAAAGAACTCCAGGTGGACTTTTTCAGTGGGGAATTCTCTGGGCAGGTCTGGAGAGGAAAGTTAACAAATATAATGTGTTCTAAGAGAAAAGGAATGTCAGTTGTGAGATGATTTAAGGGTCAGTTTCCCTGGGGAAGCAGGGAAGCAGGGGGGCAGTTGGGGACAATTAGGCCGGCTGTGGGTGGGGCAGTTGAGGGCAAGCAGGTCAGTGGCATGGGCAGTTGGGAGTGATTAGGCCGGCAAGGAAAGAAGTTGGGGGTGAGAAGGCCGGCGGTGGGAGGCGGGGAAAGTTGGGGGCAAGCAGGACGGCAGGCTGAGTAGTTAGGGGCGATCAGGCACACAGGCATGTGAGCAGATAGGAGCCAGTGGTCCCGATTGCGAGAGGGATGTCTGAGGGGTCCTAGATTAGAGAGGTTGCAGGGCGGGCTGAGGGCTCTATACCAACTAGTGTGTGTGTGTGTGTGTGTGTGTGTGTGTGTGTATAAAATTTCGTGCTACGTTGATTTCAGAGAGGAAGGGAGAGGGAGAGAGAGACAGAAACCAGAAACATCAATGATGAGAGAGAATCATTGATTGGCTGCCTCCTGAATGTCCCCTACTGGGAAGTGAGCCTGCAGCCCAGGCATGTGCCCTTGACTGGAATTGAACCTGGGACCCTTCAGCCT